CCAATTTTTTATGGCTTTCCAAGCCAGTATCATTCTAGGTAAAATCTGGATATATAGGGACAATAGGGACAAAATCTGGCACAATTAAGGAAGGTAAGAAGCTAGAAACCTGACTCCTGCCTCTGAAGCCTGTACATCACTGGAAAGTCTGTCTTATCATGTCCTCTAGCTTCACTAGAATTTTTAAACACAGATTTCTTTATTGTAGTAACATCACTTTATGCAACATCAACATAATTCTACACCTATCAAAATATCTATAAATGAAAATATCCTGAAACATGTCAAAATATCACTGCTCTATTTTAGGACATCTAGAGGTATGGTGAAGCATTCATTCTGCATATATTTTGGGTTATTTCCATTTGCTTTAGAAAACTGTTCTAATTTTTATGTCTACCATATGAAAGCCATGATTCAAATCCTACAAATCAAGTTATGATTCCAGTGATTAATTTCTTCTGTGCATTCTTACTGGGAAATTGAAAGAGGTAATTTAATGTAACTTATTCTGAAGTGGGTGCTGTTTTGCCAGTTCAAGACAGGAACAGTGCCATTCCTTTGGTTTGTTTCAGGCCTCATTCATTGATTATTCAGCTCACAGACTCTTATACCCCAAAAATGGATAACATTTTCTTGACTCACTGGAGAGCCTGACTTGTTACTCTGAAACTGTGGTTGAAAACAAATTGCAGCCAAAAGCTGAATAAACATTTATCTGTGTCACAGTAATTTTGGTCACAGCCAACCTGAGGATGGAATTGAACTTAAAAATACTGTGTTCCTGTAATACTTCAATGGTGCTTATGTAGAGAGCTAGAAGTAGTTATGTTCCTAAAGGATGCTGAAGGGATACCTGGCATGGTGACCCCTGTGCAGGGCTGTGGCTCATGGTGTCTGCTGAGCTCCCTTGGGCTGGAGAGAAACTCCTGGGAACAAATCCAGTTGGAATAATGCTGGTGTGGGATGGGGCTGCTGCTGCTGCTGATTCCTGAGCTCAGGAGCTGTGGTGGAGTTCAGGTGGAGCTGTGCAGCTGCTACAGAGGCTCTCCCTTCATGTGAGACAAAATGTTATCCCCAAGATCTTGCAGGAGGGCTCAGCCATTCAAAGCATCAAGTTCAACTCAAGTAATTGTTCACATCAAGTTGGAGCAGAGGAGAAGAGAGTTATGGGTCCTGCTTAAATGCTGTTTAACTCTTCAGTTTTTTACCATTATTGTGTCTTTCATGGTATTATGCAAATAGACATCTAAATAACACAACACATACATTCATACCCTCATAGACACAGCTGAACAGCTGAAGATGACCTCAGGACTTCAGAGATTTATTTCATGTGTAGGAGATCAAAAGAAAATACCTCAAAGCTTCATTGTATTTGAATAAACAAGAAGATGTGAAATGCTCATGAAGGATTTGTCTGGCACAAACATGCATGACAATGAGACCAACAAATCTCAAATGGATACTGTAGAGGAGTTCTACTGGTTTTTTGGTTTTAGTTTTTTCCAGCTCCTGTTTTAGGTGCTGGAAAACTGCAAATAAAAAATAAACATCTTGGCAAATATAATTCCAGGGATGATCAGTACTACAGCAATGCACAGATTGTCAAGATTATAACCTCAGCACTGTTTTGTTCTACAGCAGAATTATTCTGGTTTTCTGGTAAAATCACCTTCTTGCAAACAAGATAAGTGTCAAAATAATTCTCATTTTAAGAGTGATACACATTATAGCAAACTCTAATCTAACTTTCTGGATCCTTGTACTGTTGAATATTCTGTTAAAAATGTTCAATGTTGAGGTGAAAGTAAGGTGGAAATACTGGTAAAATATGTTCTATGATGGCCTGAAAGAAGCTCTGCTTGCCCAGAGTCCAGACAGTGCTTTGCATTTTATCATTCACACCTTCCCACAAAGTGTACAGAACTTTTAAATCAACATCCTGAAACATGAGCAGCTTCTGAAGTCCCAGCTTAGGAACTCATTTTTAATCCTGCTAAAGCGGAGTCTACCTACACTGACACAAGGCAGCAAGCTCAGGCCTAGCTGAGAGAATCACAAGCTGTGGAAATCTTTTACATGACATAAAGATGATGAACTGGATTGCAGCTGTGGCAGACTGCAGACTCATGTTGTTAATGACTATAGAGCACATGTTTATGCAGTGACATAAAAGCAATTCATCAGCCCTCCCTGGACTTGACTGAATGGCTCAGTAAGCTTGGTGTGAATTTCATAGTCTGTTGTTGCTTTTGAAATGTTTTTTCTTGAGATAGGGGAAAGAAAGTGATGGATTGAGGAGCTCTGAGAAGCATTTCTCATCTCCACAGAGGAAAAGACAGTTTCCTTCCAGCACAGCCAAGGCCTGGGAAGTCACTAGTGTCCACACATTCCTTACAGAGACACAAATCCTGTTATCATAGACCGACACCTAAAACAGATTCCACTGTCCAGAGCCACACATGAATTACTGCTGAGCTTGGGAGGGCTCCTGCATTTGTCTGGACAGTGGCTCCATTTGCCACTACCATCTCTTGAGGTATTTCAGTTATGAAAATTGCCTTGTCATATCAATCCTTTTTATTTTACATGCCTGCACATGAAGATTAAATATCCATTAACTTTGTCATGCACCTCACTGCTGTCCAAACAAAAAGGTAATTTCTCATTCTCTACTAAAGTTTTTCTAAGTACTTTTGATTAGAGCATCTTGACTTTGATTTACTGTCACCATTATATATAATTCCATTCCTAATTCCAGTGTGAAGTAAAAGAATGCTTATTTAACAAAAAGCTCTTTCATTATCTTAAAATACATACTTTCTATAGTTTCAATAATAATTATTCACCAGGGTGAATAAAACACAAACTGCAAAACTGGATTACCATATTTATATTTAACCTGAAATAGCCTGAATCTGATACTGTATCAACAGAAAAAAAAAGCTTGGTTACAGCACTCCTCTATTTTTTTTTTATGTGAGACCACAGAAATGTATTCATTAGGTACACAATCATATCTGATAAGATTTAGAAAGGAGAATTTGCACAGCTGGGAGAATTCACATCCAACAAAATACATAAGCAGCTGAATACATGTTCTTCTATCACCTTACTTGGTCCAAACCACGTGGTTCTTTCTCTGCTGATCACCCTCTTTCAGATATAACCTGGATTGTATTTAGGCCAAAATGTCAGCTTTGCTTGGGTTAGCCAGTTATTACTTTTTGCCTTCTAATAATATATATTTGGTAGAGTGTAATGCACAAAATTCTGTCAAAGTCTTCATTAATCCAAGTTATATCAGTGTTTTTTTATAAAAAATTTACAACAGCCTAAATATATGGAAGGTGAATTCTATATTGACTTTTTCTAAACTAAACACAAGAATCAGGCTGGTGAGGTCTCTGGCCTAAGAACTCTTCAATTTTTCATGCTCTGTTAGATGGTCTTAGAATCTAGGAAGTCCTTAAAGTTATAGCTCCATAACATTCCTAGACTACCATGGTTACAGCAATCCTATTGCTACAATCCTATTGCTATTAATTATACATTTAGCAGGTGAAAACTTCCTGCATTCCAACTATCCAGAAGGGAATTTTTCTTCCATTGACCACATATAATACAAAAACTGATTTAACAGTCAGCATCTAAAGTGGGATTTCATTCTCCAGCTGATTTCACAGCAGACTGGAATCCATTCAATGACTGGAATTGGACAAAATACATGGAGGTATTTTATTAGCATGGATGAGTCCCGTTGGGTAAAATTAAACTGAGTGGCTTCCACAGCCTGTACCCCAGTCCTGGTTCTCCTGCTATTAAACAGAAACCAGGGGCTGCAGACAGCACAGCCACAAACTTCAGCCTGGCCTCAAGTCAGGACACAGCCTGAGGTGCACAGCCCCAGCAGGCACTTCCCAGTTTCTAAGGTTATGCACCCATAAGAAACATTCCCAGATAAATCAGTTAAAGAGAGATTATGGCTTCCATCTTCTGATGATTTCACCTATTTTTGTTTCCAAGTTCCCAATCTTTCAGCTTTGGCCCTCAGCATCACAGCAGGTCTCAGTGTTATCACCTCTTCAAGACCGAGCCTTTCAGTAATGTGAATGAAGCTGCACAGTGAATCTCACAAATCTCGTCAAGTTCTTAGGCATGAAAAAATCAGGACATCCTTAGGCAGGATAATCCTTAGGATTATCAGAAAATAAAAAATCAGAAATAAAACCCCCAAAAATCGGTAAAGAAAGAAAACAACCTATACCTTCAGTATATTAGAAGTTAGTAATTCATTATTTTTAATACTGAGAATAATGCAGTCACGAGAAAAAGACATTTGCCTAGCCTTGTAAGCATTCACCCCTAGGAAAATTACTTAAATGAAAAGGGAAAAAAAGAGATAACTGTGTACACAAAATTAGCACGAGAATTAGCAATCAACTGTAGTTCATACAAGGTTCTTAGCAGATAGCATCATGTTTATTAATAAATGATGAACTGCTTAGTGGAGTTTTTGCTTAGTGATATCACTATAATAACAGAAACATGTTTTATTTATATTTCAAGTTACATCCAAAATAAGTGAGACATTCAGATGTCAGATTCTCTCTAATATCTAAAGATTCTTTACCCCAAATTCAAACTTCCACTGTTCTAGATGAGATAGCACTCCATGAAAACCAAGGGGAATAATATGACGACTTCAGTCACGTTGCTCATCTTTGGGGATTTTTTTCCTGTGATACAACACAGCAAAAACTGCATTTTTTAAAACTGGCTGCACTTTTCTCATAAGGATGGTATTTTTTTTCTCTGTGGGATATAGTGCTATTTGTGCAGCAGATTGTATTTTGACAGATGCAACTGTATCATAAAAAGGCCCTTAGCACCATGAGACTGGTAGCTCACAAACGTTCATGAGCTCCAGAATTTCTTTTAAAAATCCCAATAATGAAAATATTTTTGAGAATGTAAAATGCCTGAAAGGCACTTACCTCCCCCACACCAGTCTGCAGAATTTTCAGTCCAGTTGTTTTTTCAAGCTTCTCTTTGTTTATGGCTGTAAGGAAACATTAAGATTGAGAGAGTTAAAGGAAAACTGGAATATGTATGATTTTACAGCAGTTCCCACCAACCCTCTTTCCTTCATCAATAAATTCATGACAGTTCCTACCTATTCCATCTATGGAATATCTTTTCCTGAGAGCACCTCTGCTAGTCAATTTTTTGAATGCATATTTATGCTATTAATTGCTCATTATTTTGTGAGAAAGAAAGCCAAGCTAATTCTATTTTCTACAATATTACACACATTTAACACAGATACACAATTTGTTTGGAAAGTTCTTTTCTGAGGATACTTCCCACTTGCTTGCATTGAAGAGCAGAGCAGTAATTTACCATGAGAACAGTACTGTCATTGTGTAGGACTTTTCACAACAGGACTTTTCTTATCTCACAGGTAAAAGAGTTTATTTCACACCACCAGGATGCAATGCACAATTAAAAAAAAAATAGTTTTTTCTCTTTATCTCTATATCACTAAAAGCATTAAAAACTAAAATAAAGCAACCCAGCATAAATCAGTTAAATGAAGGTAATAATCACCAAGACTACAATTATACTTGCAACCCAAACCCGCTCAAGGCATGGGCTTGAGCACTGTTGTACAATTGCCCATTCTCTTAAACCTATGCTCTGATATGTGATATCAGGTCTGATATGCTTTTGGCCTGTGACTGCTAGCAGCCTCAAAAAACAGTGCTCAACCACAGTTCTGGGAACAGAAGGATGAGATTATTCCTAGCTGGGTGTATGGGTACTGCCATCCCATTTTGGATGGGAAGGTTTTAACCTTCCAAATGCAAATTTTGTCAGTTGGACTTGTGGCCAAAACCCAGGCACCCGGCTTGATTTATTTATGAGTGGCAATGAAGTCTTGCAGCCTTGTTAACCTCTCCTTCCTTCAGCTGCCTGGAATCCAAGTGAGTCATCTGGGTTCTCTCTGTTGTCTTTGGAAAGGGATGCACATTTAATGTGGTGAGTCATCCCGCACATCTTACACATATCTGCAGGCACCTACCTCTTCTTTGATTATGAACAAAATTTGATAGATGCAGCTTCTCAATTTTGGTTGCCTGAAGCAAACCTTCCAATCCGAAAGGGCAAGTACTAGAAACATACTGCACACTGTAAATTTATATGAAAATACTTAAAGGAATTAACTTTTTTTTATCATTTGTGAAAAATTCCCTTTAATTGTTGTCATTTGAAACATTTAAAACAGCTAAAATTTCAGCAGACATTTCTTGAAGATTATTCTGAACTGATACTTTACTGAGTTTGTCCAAAGTGCAACACAAATGACTCACATTTATTCCAGAGGTAAGTCAGATCATTAGGCTCCATCCCACCACTTATGGAAATATTTTTGTAAGAGTTTTTACATGCAATGGCTCCAGAAGTTACACCTCTAGCAATTCTAACACAAAAACTTTTCTGACTGCCTTCTGCAAGGGGTGAATTTTGCTCCCAATTCAAACAAAGAAGAAAGCTCTGTACACATTTTAGACCCAGACACTCTTATTTTTGCATCCTTTTAATACGCTGATTAAGCAGAGAATACATGGAATCCCAACCTAAGAAAGTTTAAATGCATTTTTCCTGAATGACACCTTAAAACCTGCATGCAATACTCACATACTTAACACCCGAGCCATAATTTATACATTTACAAACATATTTATTCTACCCAGAGCCAAAGGGACCCTGTGAAGGCAAGCTGAGTGAAATATGAAATTTAAGATCACATTTTGCGGTTTTGTATGCCTTGTGTGGTATGAATTTCCAAAAAATAAGTAAATATTTGAAAATATATGTCATGCTACCACACTGACCACCTCACACCCAGAAAACACATTAAAGGCAGATTTCTACTAAATGCAAAAATATATTTATAAAATGAGAATGTTCCACAGCCTCCTTCAAAGAAACTGAATGGTCCAACAAAGGATTCTTTGGCAGATTAGGATAAAGAAAACTGCACAGCAGAGTGGCTGCAAAATAAATGGCTATAAGTAAACAACAAAGCTTAAATCCCACTGTGTAATTTCTTACCACATGAACAGTTAATAGAAAATATTGGGTGTGCTGAATCGCTGAATTTTATAATTACTATTACAGATTTGACCTCCTTTTCATAGGTTTCCTGCAGACATTAATTATTGAAGCTTTGATATTAAAAAAACAACAACAAAAAAGGTTTATTTAATAGCCCTGCTTTCCCCCTTGAAACACAAAGGACGGGTCTGACAGCCATGCTAACACAAACCCTGCCAAAATTAGGAGGCATGAAGGCACGAGGTGTTATTGATTAAATCATAACCGGAAAATGGCCAAGCCAGGCTCTGTCAGCTGTGGAGGGAGGCACGGCCGACAGGCTCCGGCGTGAGCAGGAGAGAGTTTTAGCTAACCTTGAACTCCACAAGCTGCCCAGGAAGGTCAAGAAATTCTGTCAGAAACCGTGCTGAAGCTGAAGCAGTAACCACGTATCCAGCAGCTGCTTCCAGCTGTGGAATGGTGAATACAACCACTTAACCTTTCCTATGCAGGACTATAACGTAGAATTTGAAACAAGAAGACCAAGTCAATATAGATAGATGGAAGAAGTGGTGGGACAATGTATTCAGATATTAAGAAAAGGCTACTAATTCTCTGAAAATTGGCCCAAATTTTTGAAAATATTTTGGTGTACTAACTGCTAGCTCTTATTCAAATACCAGTATACAGCAGCTCATGTTTCAGTTGTAAATTTTATGAAAGTAGAAATTACAATTGTGGGTATCATGATATATTGCACATTTCATCAAGGTTATATTTTTATGGTCACAGTTTAAAGTCCTATAATACTAATTGAGAACTGACAAACTTGTGAGCAAAGAGGCATAATAAGGACTGCTATTCAAAATTAAAAAAAAGCAAACAAAAAAACAAAAAAAAAAAAAAAAAAAAAAAAAAAAAAAAAAAAAAAAAAAAAAAAAAAAACAAAAAAAAAAAAAAAAAAAAAAAGAAAGAAAAAATGCCCAAACAAAACCCCCCTCAAACCAGCTAGCAAAATAAAAATCCATTTTTTAATCTTCCATTGAAACAAAAACGGCTTCCAAACACAAAAACGGAGGCCTTTAAATTAAATTCACTAGATGAAGGATATGCAAATTACCTGAAGAAGCGGAGCCCTATAATGTTCTCAAAATTCTGCAATAGCCTATTTAATTAGTATTTTAATTTATCAGAATAATTCTTTGCACTTGACAATTTATGTAGTATTCCATATAATTAAGCACGTAGCTACAGTGGAATAATTTTGCCTACTCTCTGTATACCAGTTATTTTAACCTGAAAGAATCTGTGGAAGTCTCTTCTGTGATCTAAATTACAATGGGGACAACTTAATGGCTTTGCTCTATTAGAGAGCATGATGAGGGTGTTACTGAGTGTTTCAGGGTAGGGATTGTCACTGCTCATTCTTCCTCAATAACCTCAGGGAGGCCTGATGTGTTTTCTGAGGGCAAACGTTTATTTCCTTTAGCAAAGTTATCTGTCAGTGGCACAGTCAGGAATTGGAGTGCGTAGGTTTGGCAGGTTTAACCTCGGAATCCATCAGTTATTAGAAGGAGCAAGTTATGGAGGGCTCTGAGCAGAGCTCCAGCCTCATTATTGCACTTCTGGAAGGAGCTTTTCTATCTAGCACAGCTGCAGCCTCAGCTGACTCATGGGAGCACACACTGGCACGAGTGAAGAAAAGGGAACCAGGGAAAGGGTTCAGCAGGAAGCCTCCCCAGCTTGGCTCCCAACCTATTGCAGGATTTACCTTCCCCAAAGAAGTAACCACCCTTAAATACAAAATAATGTTTCCTGGGAAGATGGCATCACTCACCAGGAAAACTTGATTTTTGGTTTGTATCTGACTTTGAGTTGTATTGAATTGAATGTAAGGAGAAAAGTATTTATGGGTACATGATTCCCCTGACCTCTATTACCTGCCCATTTTGGAATGAGCCAATTCATGCTCTAGACTCACTAACTATATTGACTGGACCTCCAGTCAATAAATTGAGGGCAACTAATTCAGATTGAGGCTGTCAGATGAATTCTACAACCACTTTTTTCTTTCCATCATCTTGCTGCAAAGCTCCTTTCAAAGAGCCACATTTAGAAGAATTTCATTTATTTTCCTCTCTGAGGATAGGAAAGAGAAAAGGAGAAAGGGAATTCCAGAGAGACAGTGCTTATTACAGTTTTTAGCTTTTTAACAAGTATCTCTAAGACAAATAAATATTTCATTTATTTACCTCAAGTTGGACTTCTCTTTCTCCTCCCCTACAAGGAGCTCTTGAATATTTGGAAAGGTTCTTCATAGCATGGTTCAAAGAGAGTGCCTTTGTCTTTGGCATGGCTACACACTGTGCCAGGCATATACACAGCAAATCAAAAGCACAACATGGAATATCCCAAATGCATCAGCTCAGAACAAGAATGACCAACTCAAGTGACCAGATAACGTGAGAAGAAGGGTGACTGTAATACATTTTACAATGCAATTAGTGAGAAACAAGTACACAAGCTGCAGGCAGAAGGTATTTTCTCCTCCAATCTTTACAGGGTGATGGCACGGGATAGCTGCTTCATGTGTAATTTCTATTTAACTGGCAGCCAGGCCTGGAATGGAAATGGTTGCAAAAAAGTCAACGCCACATTGCTGTGCTAGCAACAGCCCGCTAAATACTATGTCATATTCAATTTTCAAGTCATTTTTCAAGTAACTTTAATTAGATATTGTTTCAATCTCATGTGCATTAATTTAATTTCTGATATCAACATTTCAGCTTTCAATCTGTTCAGATGCAGTACCTTGCTGCCTGGAGTAATTTAAAATATTGTTTGCATCTCTAGCAATTTTGAGAGCACACATCTTTTACAAACTGCTCCAGCCAATAAAACCAGCAGATGGAAATTCAGACCATGCTCAACACTCCCTGTGCACCTTTGCATTCTCACAGA